GCTTCTTTAAACCATCCAAGTGAATTTCTCGCCAGATTTAATTTTCGGACCAGGACTTCAGGGCTCACAGATCATTCATTCATATTCATTCATTCATTCATTCATTCATTCAAAACATTTTTATGCCGCCCCCATCACAATGAAGCCTCGGGGAGGCTCACAACAGAAACAAATACATAAATACATAAATAATAACCATATAACAATAAAAAAATTACATAAACCCCCCCCGTGCATCTCGGCTTAAAATTTAAAATCCTATAAATACAGATAATTTAACAATTAAAATAAGTTTTAAATAAAAAGGTCTTAGCCTGGCGCCGAAAAACAAATAACGACGGCGCCAGGCGGACCTCTCTGGGGAGCGCATTCCATAGATGAGGCGCCACTGCAGAGAAAGCCCTCCTCCGGGTACTCACCCTCCTAATATCATTCACGGAGGGTTCCCGGAGAAGGGCATCTGTTGCTGATCTCAAGGGGCGGGAGGGCATATATGGATGCAAGAGTTCCTTTAGATATCCAGGTCCCATGCTGTTTAGGGCTTTATAGGTAAGCACCAGCTCTTCCAGCTCGGCAATGGTCAAGAACCCTCCGAGGTGCCGCTCGGCCCATGCACAAGGCATCAGGCTGGGGGACAAAGGGTTAAAACCTCCCAGATGAAGAAATTCACCCGGAGCATCCAATGCCAGTGCAGCCAACCCACAGCGCTCGCAAGGGCTTTCCCAGCCTCCCCAAAGCCAAGGCTCGTGCAGGTTCTTCAGTCCCCTTCCCTGGGAGGTCCTGGGAGGTTGCTACAACGCTCTGAAATCCAAAATGCCCGCATGCTGCGGCCATGCGCAGCCGCCGGTCTTGTGGCAGCGCCGTTGTGGTTTTGTCCGGGACTCAATCCGTTTTGCCACCAGTGGCGCTGCCCGACGTGACACCTACATGGTCCATTTGCAGCTCACGCGAAGGCGCAGGGAGAGTGAGGAAAGCAGCAACCGAGCGGCCCAGAATCGTACAGGATGCGGAGAGAGTTTGCAAGCAGGCATCTTGCTGCTTTTCTCACAATACTAGAACCCAAAGGGGTCATCCCGCAAAGCGGATGCAGGAAATTCGGGACAGATTAAAGAAAGAGTTCCTCGTTCCGTGCATCAGTGATGGAATCCTTGTTCCCGTGAGGCTACTTTTATATTGTTATTTATTCTATGTTAATTTTATATTGTTATTTTTGTATTTTATCGTATTTTATTTTGCGTTGTGAGCTGCCCCTTCGGCAAGGGGCGGCATAGAAATGTTTTAATAAATAAATAAATAAATAAATAAAAATATTGACGGCTCCATGCTCTGTGACGGTTCCGCGATCACAATTTTGCTTTAAAGGGAACCCGTTGGGCGACTGGCTGTGGAGCAGAATGACAGGTTTCGCCACATTTGAGCAACATGGTGGGCTCGGTGGGGGGATCCGAGAGCTGGGGGGGGGGCTGCGCTCAGGGTGTGGGAGCGCGTGTGATGCCACCACTGCTTTTTGCACCCACCCGCTCGCACACCCTTGGCACACACGCCCGGCTCTCACGCCTTCCTTCAGCGTGTGTGTCCCGCCCTTGAGCTTTATTGCCACGTCCACCCACTGGAAAGCTGCAACCTGAAAAAGCAGCTGAGGCCGTTCTCCGGAGAGCAGCACCGACGGGTTCCTGGAGCGTTGTGATTAGATATAATTATTGCCTGCGATATATAATATAATATGTATATGCATTACATTAGATTAGAAAAATTGCATCCATATCCCACCTTTGTCCCTCCTGCAAGGAACCCAAAGGTGCTTACAAGGATCTCCTGCTCTCGATTTTATCTTCACAACAACCCTGTGAGGTAGGCTAGGCTGAGAGGGAGGGGCCAACCCAGTGGACAGCTGCACTGGAAAGCAAAGGGCATAGCTGGAGAGTGGGGAATGGTCCTACGGAGCCCCTGCTGAAGGGGCCACAATTTGCCACTCTTCCTGCACTGCGGCCTGAGGAAGGGGCGGCCCCTCATCTCGAGGGAGGGCTGGCCCTGGTCCGCAGGGCAACCAGGTGTAGAGGCCAAACCCTGGATATTAGCCAGCCATGATGGCCGGTTAGGGAACGGAAAGGAAAGGGCTCATTCCAGCCAGGCTGATTCTGGCAGGATTTGGCCATGGCCAAAACAAGAGGTGATGGCAGCTGGAAGTTGCTTTGTTCCTTACAGGGGCAGGAAAACTTGGGAGAGGAAGAGTCACATCACGCGGGGAAAAAGGACAGGAAAAAGGAAGATGCTATAGAACGGCGGTTTGGGGAGGCATCTTTGCAATGCTTCTCCCACCTTGCTGTGGACCTCCAGGCTGAGCAAGAGTTTTGACACAGCATCTCCCACATGCAAACTGCAACCACATCCGTCACAGCAGCGCTTGGGATGGAACCAGGCTGATACAGAACAGATATTTTAAAATGTTGTGGAATAACACTTCAACACACAGCTCCAGAAGCTAATTCATCAAGTCTTTCAGCAGGAATGCAATTTCTCTCCCAAACACGGCAGGCTTAATTGCTCCAGCTAAATCTGGTCCAATTATACCGTGGTAAGGTCTGATCTGTAGCAAGGGCAATATGGCACGCTAAATCATGGAAATTAAAGCAGAAACCCAGGAATATTTCAAAATCCTCATTTACACAAGACAGTTCCGGAACTTCACCCAGGGGGTTTGCAAAACTAAGCACAGAACGTTTTCTTGCTGCTTGAAATGGGCTGCTGGGGGATGAGCAGAAGAACACTTGTAGCAAATGAGATTTTTAGAATTTTTGTGCAATTTGGACAGTTTATTTTTGTTCTCAGTTTTGTTATGCAAGATAAGGCTTAACAGTTACTTTAAGAAATTCCCAGGGTAAGGACAGAATGCAGAGCCGTTTGCTTTCTCCTGTCCTTTGTATTTCTCCTTTACTCTTTTTCTGGCGAGGTTTCTAAGCCACCCTTCACCAACCTGGTACCCTTTGGATATGATGGGTCACAACTCCAAGCATTTTCTCATCCAGCATGTAAACACTCACCAGTTGGAAATAAATGTGCTTCATAGAGAGGGCTCATCAGTGATCTGGCTCTTGTCCATTCCTGGGACCTAATTAGTGCTGGTTTTAACTTTTAAACCTCTCAAAAACTTGGGGCCAGGTTACATGAAAGATGGCATTGCTCCACACACTCTTACCCAAAACAATTATCTTTTTCAAAGATCCTGCTCCGCAAGTCCCTCCTAAATGAGGTAAGCAGCCTTCTTGGTGTTGGCACCCAGTAGTCACACAACTTCCCCAGACTGTCTCACTTGGCACCATCTTTTCGGCCTTTTCAGTGCCTGATAAAGTCCTTTTTCTTCTCCAAGGCTTTATATGCAATGAGTGTATCAAACACACACAATCTAGGTTCCCGCTGTGTGAGGGATACTTTCGTTTGTGAACAGAACAGCTCAATGGTTGTATATTGAGCAAGGAGGGGGAGGAGTTTTATGCTGCACTTCAGCGTGTGATTTTTCAGTCATTATTCTGTATGCTCGTTTTGCTTTTGAAATTCTGCTTTGTAAGCCACCCAGGGAACTGGTGCAGAGTGGAACTCATCCAGATCAACACCCTCTTCGTCATGTTCCATGCCTGGTGAACTAAAGAGGAGTCCCACCGGATGGGACCAAGGGCCTTTTCCACACAATGGGGACAAACTGCAAGCGGGGCGGGAGAGCGACAGCCCCTTCCTGAACACGCTCCCAGAAACAGGTGCCTGCAGGTAAAGTGCTTCTGATACCGCAGGGACCACAAAGCCATCATGACGCGCAGCCTCCAAGCGCCTCCGTGAATCTGCCAAATTGGTGGCCATCTTGCATTCCCTAATTATGTGCGGCGTGAAGTTGTCCGGCCTTGTCTCTGTCCATAATCCCCTACCAATCAGCTCCCTGGGATGACTCTAAGATGGGTCATCCCGGGGAGTTGAGGGCTGGAGGAGATCATGTCTCCTTTTCTCCTTCCTGGATACCTCTGCCTTGTTTCCCCTCACTCGCCTTTTCCCGCAGCTCCAGATTGGCCATTTTTCCTGGATAGGAGAACTGCTCTAGCCCCTTGATTATTTTAATGCATTAATCGAGAGTCTTGTTTAAAAACATTGAGTTCGGATGTATTTCATGAACCCTAATGCTTGGGATGCAGATGAGAGTAGGTCAGGCTGAGAGTCTGTCACGGGCCCAAAGTCACCCATCTTTGTAGAACCCAGACTGCCCGAATCCCAATCCGGTGCTCTCAACCACAACCCCACCCTGGCTGTCCATGCCAAGTACCGGGAACATGGGACAGCCCTAAACCACTCTGCCAAGAGATGCAGAGCTCAGCAAAACGGGCTAGAAGCACCTGCTGGATGTCCATAACCTTAAGATACTACCTGCCAGATGGCCGAACTGGGCAGGAAGACAAGATGGAGGGCCCTTTTAGGTCTAAATGGTCAGGACTGGGAAGGTTGAAGGTTTCCTGAAACAAAGACCAAGGCCATGAGTCCTTGACCTTCACACTGCACAATTTCAAAATGTGGACAGGAAGCAGTGCCCCAAGAATCTCAGCTTCTACTGATATTTTTTTTTAAAGGCAAGGTTCTAGCCCTTAAGATGAGGACCAAAATGTGCAGGGCAGATTTCCAGTGTAGAGAGTGAGGTGTTTCCTCACCCCACCCACTTTTAACTTTGTGGGTTACAGGGAAAAGACAACACAGAGAACCAGTCTGGAGGATCACGGGGGTGGAGAAAGAAATCGAAGGGAGAACCTATGAATCCCTAACCACTCTGGGAAGGCTTACAGGACCGAGACAGCAGGGGAGTCGCACGTAAACAACCCCTGCAGGAAGCTTTCTACTGAATTCTACTGAATCCCTTTAACATCTCCAGTAGCTGAGTCAGGAGGGAGAGATGGGGCGGGAGAAGAGAGAAAGTGACAGGCCGGGGAAAACAAGCAAGAATGCAAACATAAACCTAACCTACTTACGAGATGCAAAGTAGGTTTCTGGGACCCAAACAGCCACAGCATGCGCTTCTGTCCAATCACCTACGCGAGGCTTGTATACACAGTGGCAGAGCAGTGGGTATCCTGGAAACAGGGCTGGCTGAAAACGAGACAGAAGCTCCCAAGGTGTTGCGCTCTGTCTGCGGTGCGTTCGGAGTCGTCAAGGTCTCCCGGAGAATGCAGGGAGCTGCACGGTTTCATGGTGACAGCAGCCTTCCCCAACCTGTTGCCCCCCAGGTGCTGGCTAGGAAAGGTGGGAATCGCAGTGCAACACATCCAGAAGGTGGCTGGCTGGGGAAGAACGGCTTACGGAGTTACTGATCCCAAGGGAAAAAATGCAGCAGAGTCAAGAGTCCCCTAGTTTATTGATTTATTTATTTAAAACATTTCTATGCCGCCCCCATCGCAACAAAGCCTCGGGGCGGCTCACAACAAAAGCAAAAACAAACAAAATCATACAAAAATTTATACACTAAAAATATTAAAACCCGGTACATCTCGGCTTAATTTTTTAAAAAAATCCTACAGAATAAATTAACACTTAAAATAAGTTTTAAATAAAAAGGTCTTAGCCTGGCGCCGAAAAACGAATAAAGACGGCGCCAGGGGGACCTCTCTGGGGAGCGCATTCCATAGGTGGGGCGCCACTGCAGAGAAAGTTAACAGTGGCCTCCTGTATGCTTTGGAACTTGCATCTGTTATGGGTTCTTCCGTCCTATCCCACTCCCTCTTGTAAGCAATGGGGGGGGGGTTAAGCAGCCCTCCCTGCTCCATTTCATCCTCACAACAACTCCCTGGAGTAGATTAGGCTGAAAATCCATGACAGTGGCCGAGTGGCATCTAGAACCGGGATCTCCCATTCCCAGCCCAACCCTGCATCACGCTAGCTCTCGACTGTTGCCCACTCAGAAACAAAACCCGCCTTTCCCCTCGTTTAAGTCAATATACCAAGTGCTCCTTGAGCCGATAAGCAATGGCTTTGGGCCAAGTCTCTCCTGCCCTCTCCCAGTCCCCAGGGTCCGGCGACAATTCACATCCAGGGCTGCTGGTCCTTTGGAACAGAGACGGCACGAGAAGGGCCAGCTCGTTCGCCATTCTCGTGGAGCGAAGAGCTGGAAAGTAGGAGGAGCAATCTTCTCAAGATTAAGCAGTAGGACTGAGGGAGGGCTTGGCTTCTGGCCATCCGGGAAAACCGAGTGCAAGCACAGAAGACTCACAATGCCAAATGCTGCACATAACGCACATCACAAAGACCGCAACATAATACAAGAACTCGACTGCAGTCACCAAGCCGAGCCCAAAGCATGCGCTACTCCATATCAGTTACTATGAATGAATTAATGGATAAAGCCGTGAAGTCAATTGCCCAGGGATATTTACCATGTTTCCCCGAAAATAAGACCTAACTGGAAAATATGCCCTAGCATGATTTTCAGAATGCTTGTAATATAAGCCCTACCCCCAAAATAAGCCCTAGTTAAGATCATCAGCCAGACAAATGGGGAAACACTGTAGTACTTCCATTGCAACACACGACAGATGTATTGAATTATAAAATAATAATGTTAATATATAATTAAATATAAATAAATATTAACATTAATACTTAAAATAAATGAGAATATACATTATAATTAAGTATTTGTAAATACCGAAGTGGGTGCCTTTGGATGAGAGGTAAACGCCTATGCAAACAGATGAACGCAAGAGTTATTGCCAAATGACCCATCAGAGTACAGACACAACACATGAATAACGTCAATATGCTACAGACGTACTTAATGCATGCATGAAAAATGCAAGATGGGAGCAAAAAGAAAGAACTATTCCATCGAGTACAAGAAAGGAATCATGGAGGACTCTCGGGGCGAGAATCTTACGGTTTTCATAAGAAAAAATAAGGCATCATCTGAAAATAGGCCCTAATGCGCTTTTGGGGCAAAAATTAATATAAGACCTGGTCTTATTTTTGGGGAAACAAGGTACAGCTGCCTTCCTCAATCCCAGGCCAATCACCACGCCATTTCCCCTCTTTGAGACATTTGTACAAACACACCACCACACACAAGATGGCATGCCCTCACACATGATTCGCACCCAGGTCTGCATCCACGCCCGTGAGGAGCTGTGGCATAAAGGGCCATTTCTCATCCCTGCAGAAGAGAATCATTTGAAACTTGGAAAGTAGCTGCTCCATTTCGCCCCCGCTGCCTTCCCCGATGAACCTCACCGGTCTCCAGGAGAGAAAAGCTACCTCATTTTCAGGGATGAGGGAAGGAAGATGCAGTGCAGTCTCCCACAAACGCTGAAAACACAAGCAACGACAGGACAGGCCATGTGTCATTTCAAAGGCAGCCTCTGATCTTGGAGGCTAGCTAAAAAAAGACTCCGGGAGCATCACTTGCTAAGAAGGGAACGATCACACACCTGTGAGTTCTGGGCCTGACCCAGCAAGATGCTGTGCACATAGCTGGCATTTTTCCTCTGCTGTTCTGCCCCCAGATGTTTGATGTACAGGCCAACACCAGGAAAGGCATGTGAGAACATGGCTTGCGGAGCAGAACGTGCAGGTACCGCTTCCGTCTGGCGCATGTGTATGGCTGCATCGGAGAGCTCAAAGTCATTTAACTTTGCAGGGCAAGGACCAACATGCAGAGAAAGGGGTGGCTGGAGATCAGCTGCACTCCCCACAAACCCCCTTCCCCAAAACCTCAGACTGCATCTAGGGGTTGCTCTGGAACAGTATTAATCAGAGCATCAGGTTGGCACTGAGCACCATTCCGGGAAGAAAGATGGAATGTAGATTAAATAGGTAGGCTTGTCTCCAATGTGCCCAGGAAATGTGCCACCCTTAGCCCCCTATTCACTCCTTGGAAAAGCTCTAGCAGAGGACTCCAAGATGTGGCAGTGGGAATGTAACCTTTAGATGCTGAACTAGATTGGCTGCTGGCCTGGTGCGGCAAGCTCTCCTACCATCTGGACCAGCCCTAGGCAATAAAAGCCCAATCTCAAGCGCTTCTCTCAAGAAACCCACTGGTGCTTCAGAGAACCGAGTTTTAGACTGTGTAAGCCCAGGCAGTGGAGAAGCAGCAGCCTTCCAGACATGGCTGGATGACAACCCCCATCATCCATGCCCACAGAGTGCTCCAGAGCCATTCACGCACACATACGCAGGCCGTTCGCCTTCACAGCCACCATCTGCACCAGCCCATTCCTTCGGAGTGCAAAACACAATCCTTTTAGAACGGAGGAACTGCTCGTGTCGGACCAGCCCACTGACTGGCTGGTTGCATCTGGTACTCTTTGCTGGACCAACAGTGATTCTTCCGGGACAGCCTTTCTCAAGTAGGGGTCCTCAAGGAGGTTTGGACAGCAATTCCTGACCTTCTTGACACAATTCAAGCCAGCCTGAGAACAACAGGATGGGAAGCGCTTGGAGGGATAACTCCAGAGGGATGACCCAGGACTTCAGCACTCTGGTTTTCCACCCCTGGCATCATGCAGTTCAAGAAAGCGTTTATTTGGGGAGCTGGCTCCTGCCAGGAGTGTTGAACTGGCCTCCAAAGGCCAAGCTCAAGTTGTGATGGGCCTTTGAGCTCAACAGCACACCACCCATCTTGGCCTGGCTCTTCATACAGGTCTGGGAGTTATCCTTATGTAATGCACAGGATGATCCAACATGAAAGAGACAATGCAGGTTTTTCCCTTCATCTTCTAAGATAAGGATATTACTGATTACCAACATCTTGGATGAGTGACATATCCACATGTATTCCAGGTTAAAGAACACACACACAAGAGCACACCTTGCAGGTTGGACATCGGTTGGGGATCGTTTAGAGCAAAGATTGGGGTGGGGGGAGGTACTGAAACGTAGAATCAAGTCCGAAGCAGCTCACCCTAAGCAAGCCCTGCCCCAGAACAAAGTGGGAAGGACAGAAATATTCGACAACACAATGATGTGTTCTCCTTTTTTTGTAGGAATGTTTGGAAACTTTTAAGGGTGGATTTGCTTAGCTTCTCCAAGCCTTCACATCTCTAGTATCCCCCCTACAAAATTATTCTCACCCGACAGTTAGGACCCCGAGGGCGTGGAATGGGCTTCCACGAGAGGTCACTGAGGCCCCATCGGTGAGGGTGTTCAAAGATAGGCTGGATGTGCACATGGTGGGCATGTCTTGAGTGGAGCCGGCTGGAGCTGGGGGTCAGACTAGATGGCCTGGGAGACCCCTTTTGACTTGTCCTATGTTTGCAGACCCCCAAACCTCAGGTGCTGCTTCTGGAGATCTTTGACATGGAAATGCCAAGGTCTGCACCCAGGACGTTCTGGATGTTGTTGGCAACACTGAGCTATGGGCAACCCTGTACCCAGGAAGAGTGCACTCTGCATACATTTGCACAACCCCCCTGTACAACAGGCACTGCAAACCCACCAGCAGGGACCTACACATGGAAGGCATGACAGGAGCAGAGCTGGCTGGAGCCAGGGGTCAGACTAGATGGCCTGGGAGACCCCTTCTGACTTGCCCTATGTTTCTGCACTGCTTCCGCCTGTGCCCAAAAGTGGGCTCAGCCAGGTGCTCAGCATAAGCTTCACCTTCTGCCTGTCTGCAGAACAGCAATTCCATCTCTTTCACAATTCATCTCCAGGAGTTGCTTCTGACAGTCTCAGCCACCACCCAGGGCTTGGACACCCCCGGCATTTAAGGTCTTGTGCAAGAACAAAGCGATTGAAATAAGCAGTCGGTCCTTAGCAACAAGTGCTGATGAGCCACTTTGTCAGCATGGAGTCAGCACGGAAAAAGGAGGGGAGTGGGAAACACCCTCTGGGATTAGTGGGTTTGATGCCTGCCTGCACACCTTCCCTTCCCACAGACAATCCAAAAAGGAACAGGTACCCAAACCTGAAGGCTTCCTTCTTCACGCTCGCAGGGAACCCACCCACAGCCGCTGCTAGGAAAGCCGTCAGCCCCCTTGGCACAAAGCCCCGTCAACTCCCTTTCCTCCAATTCTGCCCTTCCAGATGTCCACCCCAACCCTCCGCGAACACTCCTCCATGGGGAAGACGAAACCGAAGCCGACTGGGAAGGGTAGCTAGCCCACGATGAGAAAATAAAAGGCAGCAAGAGGACCTCCATTGCACAGGGACAGATCTGACGCCCGTCCCCGGAGCAATTGGAAAACGAGCCACCACCAACCACACCCTCCCAGTTACCAGGCAAAGGTTGGTGGTGGTGCAAAGCCGGCTCTGCTAGCAAAAAGCAAAAAACCAGCCATAATTCCAACAGCATGAGTAACCATAGCAACAGGGTTGCCAATGCCTCTTCCTTCTCCTGTTGCAGACCTTCCAAACCGTTCAACTACGAGGAGGTTTTATGACTGCTGCAAAAGCACAGAATGCCATGCACGTCGCCTCT